GGGCCTCTTTGCTGCGGCATCCAGAGCCCCGTCTCCTAGTAAATCGGTCCGCGACCGCTCCCTGAAAACAAACTCTTTTGGAGTCGCCCTGAGTGCCATGGAAATGGGGAACCGGAATGGTTGCGTCATAACCCCCGTTCTCCTTCCTCGGCGTTTCTCGTCCGCGCCGGCACCCCTGCAGGTGTCAGCACGACCTGCGTCGTGGGGGGCCGCTGGCTGGCGCGGCCCTCTGTTCGCAAAGGCAGGCGACCGATGCGGCTCTGCCTGGTCTGACTCCTTTTCTTCTGCACTTGCCGCACAGAACCAGTGAATCCGCAGCAGGCGGAAGGGTCTGCCGGCGCCGGCCGGCCCCCAGAGAAGTGTGCCCAGCAGAGGCCGAGGCGGGCCGCCCCCGCCGCGCAGAGGTCGTCGTCGCTGCCGCCCTCCACTCGGAAGTCCAGCGCTCCGAGTAAGTCGGGGCTGCGGCCCCCCCCGGGCAGGCGCCAGGGCCCGCGCATCCCCACACGCGTGCACGCACACGGGCACTCCCCGCCCTCGGCGCCCTCCCGCGCACCCCGGAGCGCGCTCTGGGCGCGGGATCTCTCTGTGCGACCTTCTTCAAGACAGAGTCATCTGGCTGACCAGGTGCCTGTGACTGGGAGCGTGGCCGGTCTGTCGAGGGAGGCTGTGTGTGCCCCGCACACCCCTGCGGCGGGCGCCACTGCAGGGTCTGGTGTGGCGCACCGCCGTCCGCCCTCCTCTTCCCGGAGACCCGCCCCGGCCGTGGACGCTGTCCCACGAGCGTTAGTGCGGCAGGTGTTCCCGGCAGAGACACGTCTGCTCGGGGGTGCGCCTGATGCTGCTCAGCGGTCGTCCCCTTTTTCTTCAGCCGACAGCAGGGGTGGTTTTCAGGCTCAAACCCTGGACTTTGAGGTCCTCAGTTTTCAGTTTCCTAGCAGCCGAGGGACGCCCGCATGGCTGTCCCAGGGAAGGTCACCAGGGCTCTGGCGTCTCCGGCTCATTTCCGGTTGACTTCTAAAATCCTGAAAAACCGGTTTTGAGTCCAAGCGCTGAGGTTACTGCTGGCAGTGGTGCCCTCCGGATGCGAGGGCTAGGAATTATTTTTATTTTTTGTTCTCGTCTCTCAAAAAGTTTTAAATGAAATTGTGTCTCTCTGAAAGTTAGAACAAAAGTCCTGAAAAAGAAAGTGTGTGCCCTGCCGCCGTCACAGGCGTGTCACACAGGAGGGAAGGAGTGTTTCCTCTCTGCTTCCGCCCGCAGGCAAACGCGAGATCATGCTGGCCCCGGTGGCGGTGGCCTACAGCCCCAAGCGGTCCCCCAGGGAGAACCTGTCCCCAGGGTTCAGCCACCTCCTCAGCAAGGCCGAGAGCAGCCCGACCCGGTGAGTCCTCCCAGACTGTCGGGCGAGAGATGCGTGTCACTGATTAGAGAAAAAGGTCACCTTATGCCTCTAGCTGTCATTAGTTTTTCAGTTAATGGGAACTCTCTGGATTTAAATCATATCAATGAATGTCATACTAAAAATTAAAAACACTGTAATACTTGAAAACAGTTTGTGACTGTGCAAACTGGCCACCACTAAATGTAAATGCCGTCCCAGAACCGTCCCTCCCAGCTTTTGGACGCAGAACGGTGAGTCTTTGTTTCTCCGAGAGGTGCCTGGTGCAGGGACGTCTCTGAGCCATTCTTACCAGACCGGGGGCTGGCCTGGCGTGGCCCGAGCTCCCGGCAGGCGCGCCGAGGCTCCTGAGAGACGGGTCCTCCCTGACTCGGGGTCCTCAGCGTGTGTCCCGGGGGCGCAGGGGGTCTACGGCTGACTCCTGCCGGCCCAGCTGCAGGGGTCTGAGGAAACGACTCCAGCTCAGTGGGCCTCAGTTTCCTCTCCTGTAAAGCGGACGGGACGAGAATACCCGCCCTGCTGATTTCTTACGGTAGTCGTGCCGGGTAAACGAGATACCACGTGGGTAAATGCCGAATGTCTCCGGTGCGGAGCTGTTCTTTTACATTAGAAAACTCACACCAGCCCTGGCCAGGGTGGCTCAGTGGGTTGGGCGCTGGACTGCAAACTGAAAGGTTGTAGGTTCGATTCCTGATCAGGGCACAAGGTCCCCGGTTAGGGCTGTGCGGCAGACGACCGTCGATCAGCGTTTCTCTCTTACATCGATGTTTCCCTTTCTTCCTCCCTCCCTCCCTTTATCTCTAAAAATAAACTTAGAAGAAAAGAAAACATAGACTAAGCTTCAGTTTTTAGAAAATCGCGTGACCGGCTTCCCTTCTAAAAAGCTGTGTCCTTGTGTGAGCTGCCCGGACGCCAGCTCACCTTTCTAGTGGCGACGGGAGAGATCAGTGGTCGGTTTTCCTCACGAGTCACTTGCTTCATTCAATAGATTTGATGTGCTTTTGGATGATTTAGATACTGTTCCTGAGCCCGCAGCGCAGCGCAGCGGCCCGAGGAAACAGCTCCAGTTTCTCCCTCTAGATGACGTGCAAGGTAGCGTGTCCTCGGCAACGGCGGGTGGGTTAGCCCTTCGCTCCGTGAGTTTGCGCTCCCCTCCCGAGGTTCTGAGTGTCATCACGTCCTGTCCACGAGTGCTGTGGCACCCAGGGGCCTCTGGAAATCAGCGTGCCCGCAGCTCCCCCGGGTCTCCATGGTGACCCTCTGGGAGGGGCGGGGGCCTGCGGGCGCGGGACGCTCCTGTTCAGCGACCCGGCCGTGCCGCTCACTTTTCCTCTTTACGTTCCTAATTTTTACACTCGGGCTTTGGGCAGGCTTTTCTTTTTCCTTTCAGTTTGGGATGAAGTTGTAAGATGATGTATGTGGAATCACGTGGGCAGGCCCCTGAACTGTTAACTCTTCCGTGTCAGTGTGAATGTGCTGCGTAGTTTTCAGACTGTTTTTTTGCCTTGAGTTTATGGCAAGTGCACTGGGGTTTACAGAGAGTCTACAGAGACTCACTCGGGGAGGTCACTGGACGGGGCGCAGCGTTAGAGTTCTGTGGGGGCAGGGCACCGGGCGGGTAGACGGAGTCCGTGTGTCTCTGCATTGTGTGGCTGGCCCTGCAGCGCCCGTGTCCAGAGAGGGAAGCCGGGTGACTTGTTTAGTATGTGCACGAGCTATTAGGAAACCTGATAAGAAATCAAAGAAACTTCTCTTCTCTCCGATAGAACAAAAACATCCCCAAAAAGCCTCTGACATCCTCGCCAACCACAACCGCTCCCCGGAGCCAGGGCCCGGCGGCACGCAGGCCGCCTGCGGGAGGGGCGAGCCCGGCAGCTGCGCGGGGCGCGCCCCGGACTTTGAGTACACCGCAAAAATCAGGACCCTGGCTGAAACGGAACGGTTTTTTGATGAACTTACAAAAGAAAAAGACCAGGTAAAAACAAAAAAAAATTTAAACTTCTTTTCTGAACTTCACGCTTGTGCCCGAGGAGCAGGCAGAAGGGAGGGGGCGAGTCACACGCGCCCCGGGAGCTGCGGGAGCCTCACCCCCGGGCCGCCGCGTGCGAGCCCTCGCTGCCCTCGCTGGCGGTGCCCGAGGGGCTCGGGCCGAGCTGAGGCCGCCGGGAGGGTGGGGGCTGGGGCCTCGCGTCTGGTCTGTGTCCTGCACCTCCCTGCCAGCGGGGGCTCCGCCCTCTTCATTGGAACTTCCCTTGTGTTGACAGATCGAGGCGGCCCTGAGCCGCATGCCTTCCGCTGGAGCACGGGTCACCTTGCAGACGAGGCTGAACCAGGTGAAGTGTCTCAGCTAGAACCGCCCCCTCTGGAGGCCTAGGCGCCCTGTCGCCCTGAAAGTGCGCTGCGGCAGGCGGGCAGAACTGTTCGCCCCCGGAGGAAGTGTGTGCTGACCCTGGCGGGTGTCGTGACTGCGTGCTCGCTTCCAGGAATAAACCTGATCATACCTTTGATTTTAGAAGGAGGTGTTTGTGCCGTCATGTTTTTGAGGAGCGAACCGGGAGCCAATGGCGAGGCTGTAGGGAGAGAGGCTGCGAGTCCCACTGCGCAGGCCGGGGGGGGGGGGCGGGCGGGCGGGCGCAGAGCGGCCCGTGCATGTGCCGCTTTCCAGAGAGAAGTCACACGCGGGAAGCCATGGCGCGTCTTAATTCTGTTCTTCCTGTAACATTTTAAACGTAACAGCGACGATATGTCTCTTACGCAACTGCGTGTCCTGGCTTCTCAGTGCCTGAGCTTCAGGAAAGTTTGTTTCCAGAACGATCTGTGATATCAGAAGGAAAGAAAGACACAAAATAGGAGAGGCGTCTTCCTCGGGCCTGCAGTCCTAATTTCTCTGTTTTCCTGCCTGTGAGACCTTTTACTGTGTTGCTTTCCTGGAAGTTTTTATTCAGTAATTCGTAGGTCTCTATATGCGAAACTCTTAAAGTAGTTTACTGGGAAAGCAGAAGGAAGAAATTGCTGATACTCTGATTCTAAATCTGTCTGAAACATTTGTTTGAAACATGTTTATAGGGCGACCACAAACTCCTAAACGAGACTCGAGGGCACCTGTCCTCGTCCACGCGTGTCTGTTGGAGCTCGCTCGGCCCCTGGGGGGGGACCGCCGGCCGCGGCGAGGGGCCGGGGCGCTTGTCCGAGAGTCACGAGTGAGGCAGTTTAGCCGGGCAAAAAAAGATGAAAAACAGACAGCCTCAGCAGTGAATGCAAAAACAGTGCACATTGAAACAAAAGCATCAACACTGGCAGGTGTTCTTGTAAGGACGGCACCTGCATGGGGAAAGCTCGTCCCCACGCCCCACGGGTGCCCAGGCGGCCCAGCAGGTCCCCGGAGCCTTGCGGGTCTCTGCAAGGAGGTGCACTCCGGAGTGTTCCTGCAGCCTCGTTTATGACGCACGAAATTAGAAGCCCGAGAAATTCCTACTGGAAGGTTCTTGGTTGGAAATGGCACCTCTGATGGAATGTTGCTGTTAATTTAAAACAATGCTGTAGAAAGATATTTCTTTTTTTCCTTAAGATTTTATTTATGTATTTTAAGAGAGAGGGGGAAGGGAGGGGGAGAGAGAGGGAGAGAAGCAGCAGAGGGCTGCCTTCCACGTGCCTCCAACCAGGCACCTGGCCCGCGACCCAGGCCCGTGCCCCGACCGGGGTCAGGGATCGAACCGGCGAGCTCTCTGTCCGCAGGACGGTGCCCAGCCCGCCGAGCCGCACTGGCCGGGGCAAGCAAATATTTCATAACCGGAGTTCAGTCGAAAACCATTTTGAAGTAGAGAGTTAGATTCTGTTTTGATTTTTCTTCTTAAAAATGGCAGGCATATCTGTAGGAAAAAGGAGAGAAGAACAGTAGTTACTTCTCTTTGATCATCTGTCTGCTAGATACTCTAAGGAACATGTAGCCCTCTTATATTTAAATTATTAAAGAGAAACACTTAAGTTTCATTTCAGGATGCCATCGGAGTTCATACTGAATAAAGGATCTAAAATGATAAATACACGAGGGGACCCCAGAATCCCTGGGATTTACTTGTAAAAAGGGTGCACTCTTCCGTGTGTACCTTCCAGTCCCCCTCGGAGCGCGCTCCACTGGACGCGGCGCCCCCGTCAGGACACCTGCCCACCGCTCAGAGCGCCGCTCGCGCCTGTCGACCTGACGCCCTTCGGTGCTGCTGCCGCTCTTTGTTTCACCTCCTCCACGTCGTGGGCAACTCGTGTCCCTCCGAGGGGTCTTTTCATCCAGGGTCTCGCTGGGGCGAGGCGGGGTGAGCGGGAGGGTGGGCCATGGGGGTCGTGCATTTTCAGTTGAGATTGCAGCGTACTCAGGGTGCACTTGTAAACCACCCACCGTGAAACGGGAAAACATGCTGAAAGCGTCTTCAAAAAAAAAAAACCACACTGAAGCTGAACGCAGCCTCTCGGGACGACGCGTCAGCGGCGCACTGATGCGGACGGGCTCCTGGGACGCTCACCCAGCGGGGGAGCCTGGCCCGCGCGGGGCCCGCCCTCCAGGAGACAGTTCTGGGGTTTATGGGGTCGCCCCTTGTGTGTATCCCAGGCACTGTCTACGTAAAAACCACAGTTGTTACGTTGATTCGTTGTGAGATCCTTTCCTGGGAAAAGTCGCCTCCAGATGTTGTTTTCCTTTCTGACTTAGACGTTTTTGTCAGAAGCAAGCCCTCTGGCGTGTGCGTGCGTGTGCGTGTGCGTGCGTGTGCGCAGGGGGCCGGCACCGGCCGGACGTGCCTGCTGGTTTGGCGAGGGCCGACCCACGCTTCCCAGCTCCGCACGGGCAGGGCTCTCGCGGTCGGCCGTGTCGCCGACAGAATCCCGCATTCTCGGTGTGCGGAGGACTCTGTGAGTGCCCGAGTCCCCCGGAGTGAACTGGAAGAGCTGATTCACATTGTGCAGCTTAAAGGACGTAACATGCAGGTGGTCTGTGTACAATGCACACTGTTCGATTTTCACGTTCATATTGTTCTGCTGCTGAAAGGGAGGGAGGCCCGCGTGGTGGTGACTGTGGCGCGGGTGAGCGTGACGCAGAGTGCTGACGCAGCGTGCTAACGCGGCTGTTCCCTTGTTTGTGCCTAGGAGGCCCTGGAGGACCGCCTGGAGAGGGTTAACCGAGAACTGGGGTCCGTCCGCATGACGCTGAAGAAGTTCCACGTGCTGCGCACCTCCGCGAACCTCTGAGACGGGCGCCCGCGAGCCCTGCGGTGTCCTGTTTGCACTAACACGCAATCATGCACTAGGAGAAGGCAGGCTCTTCTGCACTGTCCGTAGGCCTTCAAGCCGTAGTTTTACAATCATGCTCTTCTTTACACTGCTGTTTTGTACTGCAAACGGCCACCTGTTTCCAGGATACTTTTGTTATGCTCAGGAACCTCTTGAATATTTTACTATTTAAAAAGTGTTATTTTTAAATAGTATACGTCTCCAGTTTGTATCAAGAATAAGGCAATGTGATCGGGGAGGCAGCTTGTTTGTAAACAAATAGAGTCACCCTTCTACAATCCACTTTGCACACCGATTTTGTAACTCCGTTCCACATTGTGAATATGATTCTTTTTAAAAAAATAAATGCTTCAGAACAGCTTCTGTAATGGTAGATTAGTACATGCTGAATGAGAAAAAAATTACAGCGTACTCTGGATTCTAGTTGTTTTGAGGTTTTTAAAAATGATAATGCAATTCCCGTGTGAAACATTTGTCGTGGAGTGAACGTTAGATTAACAATGACGGCAATTTTGGAAATAATGGGACGCTGGAAAGCTTTGAGAACTGCATGAATAACTAACTCGTTTTGTTTCCCTTAAACTTTATTATTTATAAGGAAGAAAAACGAGAGATGTGGCCTCCTCGTTTGGTCACACTCAGTACTCCTCAGGGAACGCGAGCCGGCGGGGCCCGCAGCCGCCTTCCGCCCGCCGCTCCCGAGGGCACCGGGCCCGCGCTGGCTTACCCCGGGGGCAGGGAGAGCTTCGATGGCACGGCTGCCCCCTCCCCCCCCAGGCTGTGAGCGGAGCCCGGTCCCCTCAGTGTGCGGGGTCCTCACGCAGACATCTGACCCCTTTCCACCGCCCGCCCCTGCCAAAAAGGAGAGCCCCCGTAGAGGGTGCCGCGAGGACTCGGGTGAAGACGCGGGCGTCTGCGGGAGGGACTGTGGCGCCAGACGTCGGCGCCCCTCCCCCGCCGCTGCCGGGGTGGTGCCGCGGGGCGGGGGCTCCAGGCTGTGTCTGCATCCACGCCTGCCGCCAGGCCGGGGCGGCGGCTGCTCGGGGCTGCTCGGGTCCGCAGAGCCCGGGGCCTTTGCCGTGGGCGTTTTCCTGGTCTCCGCGTTGCAGGGGGCGCTCCAGCACAGCCTGTCCGGAGCCCTGGCCAGGGGTCGCCTCTGCCCGTGACCCTGGCCTGCGTTGCCCTGCGTGACGGCGGCAGGCAGCCCGGGAGCTGTCAGGCTGCTCCCTGGCTCCTTCCTGTTACTGCGGAGCCTACTCCACTCGCTCTTACGGAGAGAGAAGCGGCCGCTCCGGAGAGAGGTCAGCTCTGACTCGCCGGGGAGCGATCGTCCGAGTCTGTTCAGCTTACTGTTCCAAGACCAGTCTTCAGCCCCACCAAAGCGTCCTCTGTGCCTCTCTTAGAAAACATGTGCTTTGATTTCTGAAGTATGTAACAGACTTGAAAGTATTAGTCCCTTTTTTTAGAAAAATACATTTTTTTCGTGATGAAGAGGGTAACCAAGGAAAATCCGCCATCTTCCCCTTTGGTGACGTTGAACTTGACCAACACTTGACTTCAGAGCCATTCTACCTAAAGCAGACAAGGTGGTGACCTTAAAAGCAGCTACTGTCCCGGGAGGCAAACTATTTTTGTCGTGGGCGGGCTGAGCTGCAGTTTAAAGAGGAGCCCTGAGTGCGGTGCCTTTGTTTCAAGGCTGCGCAGTCCACCGTCCCTACTCCCACTCGTCCCCTTTGCCCTTGCAGCCCGCCACGGCGGGGCGGCGTCCCTCAGGGGCCCCGGGTCACGGCTTAAAATAAAGGCGCCCCTGCCTCGCAGGGCTGGGCAGCAGGGTACAGGGGAGCCTGCCCGGCCTGGGTCCCCCTGCCTCCCTCACAGCTGCCCCCCTCACAGCGGGGAGTGACGGCAGGAAGCTTCCACTCAGGGGGACTTCCACGTGAAGTGCCTGGTGCTCGACTCTTCGGTGACTAGCCCACCCCAGCCTCACCCTGAACTAAAGCGGCGTTGGCAGTGCCTCGGGGGTACTTTCTAACACAGAAAAGGAGGTTGTCTCCTAAGCAACTGACTTCAAAACTACTTCGGACCGGTGGACATTTGCGGTCGGTGGTCCGCGACGTCCCGTCCACCTCTTTGCCAAAAAAGCGAGCTTCCTTCGAGCTTAAATAAGCCGCCTTTCCGTGTCCGTTGTGTGTTTTTTTTTAAATGACTAATAAAAATTTGATAACCCGTTGAAGTGTAAGGTCCAAGAAGGCTCTCTGATCTTTGGCGATTTCGGGCCTGTTTGGCACAAGTGCCGGGCGCGCTCCTGAAGAACACTGCCGACGGGAAGGAGGACCTCGTCCTTCCAGTGTCCTGCTGCGACTCGGCAGCACGCGGCGACGGCTGTGAGCGGGGGCCGCGTCCATCAGATGGACACAGTTAGGATTTGTTTTGGGGGTTTGGTAACCAGCCAAAACATGTCCCCCTTCTCAACTTGGAAACGCCAGGTGCTTTGCAGAATGCCGTTTGGGCTCTGACCTCTGCACTCACGTACATGCAGTGAAACTGGACGTTTTCTTTGCTTTCCAAACCAGTGCCCACTGAGTGGTGGTGCACAGTGTGTGCTGCGAGTCCAGGACGCTGTAAAGAGCAAGTGCACACACCTGGAGCTCTGCAGGGGTCGGCGGCAGGTCACACCTTCCCGAGGGCACGACGGCGTGGGGCTGTGAGATCCGCAGGGTCCCGCGGAACCGGTGACGTCGCACAGGCGTCGGACAGTAACTTCCTGCCCTCCCAGGACTTGGGTGGCAGTCCGGTGACAGGTCGCACGACGCCTGTATTCTCAGGACCCGTGTCACTGAGCTCTTCCTTCGGGCCTGTGTGTGTGTGTGTGTGTGTGGTTTTCCCAGACCCCTCTCCCGCACGAGGAACCAAACCATCCATAAGCCTGCACCTGCCGGCCACGACGCACCGCGGACTCCAGCAGCGGTGCTGCCGGCCGCGCCATTCCCCTGTGGCGGGGGCGAGTCCTGTGGAAGCCCTGCTTCGTGCAGTGCTGCTGGCGGGAAGCGGACAGCCCCAGTGCTTGCTGCAGCCCTTAAACCCCGCCAGACCTCGGGGCAGTGGGATTGTGAGCCCCCTGAGGGCGCGGCCAGCTCTCCGTTCTTGCAAACAGGCACTCAATAAATTTAAAAAACAACAACAACTAAAACACAACCGTCTTGTGACATCAGTGCACTGATCCACGCCGGCTAACCGTGGCGTCTGGTTTTTAACGGGTTAAGTCCTCCAGGTCACGGAGGGAGCCCTCCCCGGGCTCTGGGCCAGGGGCGCAGGGCAGGGGCCTCGCCGGAGAGCTGTGTGTGTGCCCTGGGACCTCTCCCGTCAGTCTTGGGGTCCCTCTTGGTCCCTGGCGGGGGGCATGGGGGGAGTGGAACTGAGGGTTCAGTATGTGGTGGGACACCTTCCCCTCTGTCGGACCGCCATCACACCGAGTTTGTGGCCCAGCTGTGTCCCGGGCTTTCTCCTGGGCCAGGCGGCCTCCGGTTGGGTCACCGGGCAGAGGAAGAAGGGCCTCTGGTGGGTCTGTCCTGCCGGGCTTCACCTGACCCCGTCCTGGCCTGCTGGCCCGCCCTTACCCACGTCGTCTCCGCCACGGGCGGCGGTACTTGGTGACAGGTAACGGGCTACTGGGTTTAGGTGAACCCAGGTTAATGCCACGGCTCCAGCTCTTGGCCACCGAGTGCGAGCTGGCTCAGCCTGCAGACTCCTCTGCCTGCCTTCACGTCCCACCCAGGGCCCTCCTGGTCGCCTGGCTTTCCAGATGGAGAATCCGACCGGGTCGGAGCCTGAAGACGCCGCTTCTGGTCCTCGCCCAGGTCCTTCCTGAGCGCGGGGACTGAGCTCGGCGCTCACCCTCCGGCCTCCGGGACCCGCGCCGCTGCTTGGCCCGGCGCTGCCGGCGGCGCGGCGCGTCTCTGCGAGCCTGGTCTGGGGCTGCGGGCCACGCCAGCGCGCCTCTGGGCTCGGGCTGCAGCCCCGCGCGCGCTCGCCGCGGCCGCCGAGCCTCGTGCGGCCTCGGGCAGTTAGTTCCCCTGCATTGGTCGTCGTGCTCCCGTGGAACTCCATTTTCCTGAAAGCTACGTGAGAGCGACGACTGCCGCGGGTCTGCTGCTCCCGAGGGCACTTGGCGAGTCCCCGACAGACTCGGAGGAGAAAGAGGTCTGGGTCCTGCGCCCCGAGGCGTCCCCGCGCGGCGGCGAGCCCCGGCCCCGGGGAGCGGGCAGCCCTGGGGTCGGGGACGCGGGCAGTGCCCGGCTCGGCCAGCGCGGGAGCCCACGCGGCCCGGTCCTTCCGGCGGAGGCGGCCCTCGCCCGGCCCCGCCGCCGCCGCCGCTCCCCGCGCCGCCTGACGGAGGCGCAGCGCCGCCGCCGGGTGAGGGAATGCGCGGCGGGCCGGGCGCGCTCGGGCAGCAGCGGCCGCTGGGGCGCGCGAGGAGCGGCGGCCGCGCGTAGAGCTGTCCAGCCGCCCCGCCGCGAGCGCGCAGACCCCGGCCGCCGCCGCACGTGCGCCCGCCGCCCGCCCCCCGCCGACGGCCCGGAGCATGCCCGCCGCGGCCCGGCCGCTCGCGCGGGGCCAGCTGGCGGCGGCGGGCGCGCGCGGAGCCGCGGGGCGCAGGCGGCCGGGCGGGGGCCGCGGGGCCGGCGCCTCCCCGGCGGCGTGAGCGGCCCAGCGCGGCCGGAGAGGACGGAGCGGCGGCCGCGCCGAGCGGGTGAGTGTCTCCGCGGCCCGGCCGGAAGGCGGCGCGTCCCCAGGCCGGCGAGGAGCCCCGAGGGCCGGGCTGCGCGGGGAGAGGCCGCGGCCCGGCCGACCCGCGCGGGGAGGGTGTGGCGGGCGCGCGGGGACCCCGGGCTCGGGACCTCGCCCCGAGCCTGGCTCCGAGTGTCGCCGGCCCTCCGGATTCGGGCTCCAGAGGCTCGTGTTCGCGTTTCCGTCGGTTCCAACTGGGGTACAGAGGGCTCCCCTCCCCCAGTGACAAGGGTCGCCGCGGCCAAGGGGCAGGTGTGTGCGCGGCGCGGGGCCTGCCCGGGAGGCGGCGGAGCCTCGGTGCAGCGTCTGCCGCCGCCGCCGCCCACCTCCAGCCGGACCTCCGTCCAGCCCGGACCGCGGCCGGGGGTGGGGGGTGTCCGGGGCCCAAGCATGGGTGTGGCCCTCAGAGGGGGGCCTGGGCGTGGGAGCGGTGCCCGGTGTCTCTCCCTTGGCCAGAGGGAAATGCGGCCCGTCTCCACCCAGAGAGCCCCTTTCCTGTCGCGACCCGCGGTGCCCGTGCCCGGGAGGCCCAGCCTCCGCCGCCCCCGCCCCGCGCCCGCCCCGCGCCCCTTCTCTCAGGGTCGGGCTCAGGGGTGACTTGGGGAGAGGGGAACTTCAGTGTCTCCCTCCGCATAAGGTGCGCTGACCCCCGCCACGAAACCCCAAATGGCTGTTCCATGTAAACACAGCGGCTCGCTCCAGAAATGTCATTTCACGGCAAGTTCTCCAGCTCCGTGCCCTCCTGACGGACCTGCCGTCCTTGCATGGGAATCCTGGGCTCCCCATCCGGCACCCTGTCCCTTCCTCCGAGCTCTCCCTCAGGCCTGCCCTCTCCCCCGACCCCGGGAGTCTTCAGAAACCCCCTTTGGGCCTCTTTCTTGGTCGGCTGCCGGCTCTTTCCACACCCCATGGGGGCGGGGGGGTCACCGGAGCTGGTGAGACAGGCCCCCGTTCTGCGGGAAAGGTGGTAAACGCCCCCTTGTCCTCTGAATCTCCCCACAGCCCCAGCCCCCAGGTCCACCTGTCTCCGTCCGGACTCCCTCCACGCCGCAGAGGAGTCCTTATTTTATAGTGACTCTCGCGCCTGCTGGACTGGGCGTCCCGGGGGACCGGCGTCTCCCCCGTCCCCGGTCCCCCGCCCTGGACCGGCGCCCCGTGCCGGGTCCGCATCTGGGTGCGGCCGAAGCCTCTCCCCGGCTGGCCCCCGACCCCGGGACCCCAGCACATCCGGCTGCTGGGCTGTCGCTGTTAAATCACCCTGTCCAGAGCCCGTGCGCCGGGCCTGGAAGCTTCCCAGCCCCCTCCCTTTGCAGGGCGGGGGGGCACAGGGCGTCGGGCAGGGCTGTCGGTCGGGCGGGGAGCGACTCGCCGGAGGACGGTGTCCGGCACGGGCTCCGGCGCCCTGGGCGGTGCGTGGGGAGGGTCCTCCCCGAGCTGGTCGTCCGCACCGGGTCTGCCGGGGAGGCCGAGGGGTCCAGGTTCCAGGCCTGGCCGTTCGAGAACATAGCGTCTCTTCATGCCCGAGGGGGTCGCTCCACTTGTCCTGGCTCTGGTGACCCTTCTGGATCTGGGACCCCCCCATCAGCTCTTCCCTGGCCCTCCCAGGTAGGGTCCATCCCTCCACCTTCGTGCCCCCCGTCCAGGTTCCAAGTGGAACGGCAGGTGACCATGTACAGGGACCCCCCACCAGACTGCGCTGCTGGGGGGTGTGTGTTGAATCTCATTTCTCTGTGTCCCTGTGCCCGGCCCACAGTGGGCGCCCGGGAAAGCATTCTCCGGTGCATGGGGGGCGGGGGGAGCCGCCCAGAGCCGGCTGCGGGTGCGCTGCCCCTTGGGGGGACCCGGCCCGCCTTCCTCCCGGCCTCGGGGCCTGTTTCAGTGGCACGCAGACGGTTCTCCAACCCTCCCGTGCGGCCGAAGGGTCTAACTTGGGCTCCAGGAGGAGCCCGTTGTGGAGGACATGCAGTTATTTGTGGAGATACAGATGAGAAGAGGAGACTTCTGGTGCTTCTGGATTATGCTGCTTCTCGGGTTTTTTCTTTATTGATTGTGGAGAGAGGGGGAGGGAGGGAGAAAGGAGGAGAAACATGGATGTGAGGGAAACATCCATCGGTTGCCTCCCCTTCCTGCCCCAACTGGGGACCAAATCCTCAAGTGAGGCGTGTGCCATGAGTGGGAATCGAACCGGTGACCTTTCAGTTTGCTGGACGACGCCCAACCCACCAAACCAGCAGCCTGGGCTTGAGATCATGCCCTGCTGTGTCTGGGAAAGACGCCGGGGCCTGGTGTGTCCTGGTGAGCAAGGATGTCCTCAGAGAGCGCCAGCCCTCGTGTGCTTTGCCCCCAAACCTGGGGCCTCGGGCCCCTCCGCTCAAGGCTTCTTAGAGTCTCGTGTGAAAAATTTCCTTTGGAATCTGGGGGGGGACTAGGTTGGTTCCTCCTCTGAAAGGAACACGTGTTCTCTGCACACGCAGCGTGTGCTCGGCCTGCCCCGCGGGCCCCGGGGACAGAAGCGAGGCCCAGAGGCAGGTGCGCCGATTTTCCCAGAGGCCGTCCGGGTCGGCGCCCATGTCGCCCCCACACTCCTTCCCGACTGCTCGGCCCCCGCCCGTCCCCGGCTGGCGGGACTCCCGGCGGGCAGTGCGGCGTCCCCTCACCCCCGGGGTCAGCCTGCCTGGGTCTGCTTCCCTGCCTGCGAGGGCACACGTGGTTACGTGTAAACCCACCCGTCTGTGTTCCGTGTGAGGCCTCGCTAACGGTGTGTGGGACACTGGACAGATACCTGAGTTGAACACAGTAAGCAACGCTGCAGGCCAGCTCAGGGTGTGGTCGGGGAGCCGTGGCCCCCCCACCCCCGCCACACCCCACCCCCGACAAACAGAGTGTGCGCGAGCTAAGTGTTGCTCAAACAGGGGGAGGAGCTCAGAAGAGGAGACGCCCTTTCTGGGAAAGGCAATCAGGGCTGACTTCCTGGAAGAGGTGGGCTCTAAAGAGGCCTTGAAGGATGGGTGGAGTTCTGATCGCCACAGCACCTGTAAAGGGTGTAGCGCAGTCGCAGTCTAAACTCTGGGTTTCTGGCGAAGGCCCTGTCAGAACAGGCGTTTTGGTGTGAAAGGAGAGAATGGCCGGGGGGTGAAGTGGGGGGCCTGGTGGCACCTCCTCAAGCCTCTCTCCCGGCTCGATGGAGGGCTGGACACCCTGGAACCGGGAGGGCGTCACCCCGTTCAGGAGGAGGCGGATGAGCCGGCCAGGCCAGCAGAGGAGAAGGGACCTGCCCACACCTGCCGCCCTTCAGCCCGGAGCCCGGGGCCCAAGCGGCCAGCTCAGGCTGGCGATCGGGCAGCAGCCCTGGGCGTTGGGGTCCCGGCTTCCTCACGCCCAGCCTGACCATCACCGGGACAGACCCCAGCAGACCCTGCAGGGCCGGGGACAGACAGACAGACAGACAGCACGTGTCCGCGAGGAGAGCTGGCATTCATCCGCGTCGCTCCTGTGAGCGGCGGCCCTTGCGGGGAGACGGGCAGATGGTTCACCTGCAGGCCGTTCCGTGACGGGCAGATCAAAAGCCAGCCCCGCGGCCTTGGGGGAGAGCCTTCGGGAAGCGGCTCCTCGCCCCTTCCTCGCTGGACCCCTGCACCCTCCCCTCAGCTCCCCCCCAGCGCCCCGCCCTGCAGCTCCCCCCCGCCACACTGGGAAGGGGTTGGGTGGGTCGGGGCGCAGGGGCCCGGAGGCTGAGCCCTGTCTGTCCGAGCAGGAGGCCTCCACGTGGGAGGCGTCCTGGGCACACGGTGCGGCCCGGTCCCCGGCTTCCCGGCAGCTGGGCGCTGCGAGGTGACAGCGGAGCCCCCGCTCCCTGGGGGGGAGGGGAACCCCGGGGTGCGGCGGAGGGGGCTCCCTCGAGCCCCCACACAGGGTTTGTCAGCCGGTCACAACGTCTGCTTGTTTTGTGCCTGTTTCAAGACACCTTACTGAATGGGTGTTGTTGACTCATTGACATTGAACTTGGCCAGCGGCGCCTCCACTCTCGCCTGCACAAAGCTCGCCGCCCGCGTGTGCTCTCTCCCGGAGGCCCGTGGCAGCCCTCCTGCGCTCGCTCGGGGACGCCGGACCTCGCTGGGGCCGACCTCGGGCAGGGCCGCCGCCGCCGCCGCCCGCGGCGCAGAAGCGCGAAAGCGTGAACACCGTGGCGCCGAACAGACCGCCGCGGGGACCTTGGTTCCTCCTGGGCTGGGAGCCGGCGTGCACGCGGGGTGGCTCAGGAGCCCTGCCGCTGCGCTCGCGTCTGCCGGGGGCCTGGAGCGCGCCAGGCCTGTTGATGTTGGGGTGCTGAGTGATTGTAGTCCCTGAGGAAGGATCCTGAGTAACGAGGGCGGGCCCTGGGTAAAGTGCTTCCCCGGGGCCTGGTTGGAGCGGCGGCGCCCGCCTGGCATTCCTGGGGGCCGCCGGCGTTGTCCGGGAAAGGAGACGGGCTCGGGGAGGTCGTGCCACTTGCGCAAGCTGGCACAGGTAGCCGGGGCCCAGCCAGGACCTGCCCACACCCCCTCCCTGGGTCCCCGCCGTGGATTCCAGGTGTGGCTCTGACTCCCGAGCTCCCCCACCTCGCCCGCCCGCCCGAGAGCCGGGCAGGTGGATTCTTTCCTCCTTGGGTCTGAGTCTCCCCCGGTGCGGAGAGCTCTCCTGCCACCTCGGTCCTCGTGCCTGCCCCTCGGGGGCTCTCCGGCGGCGCCCAGAACGGGGCCCCTCACCGGCGCTCAGCACTGCGTGTGTGACGGCCGGGCCGCAGAGTCTTGGGACTGCGTGGTCGTCGTGGGGGCCGGAGAAAGGGCGTGGTCTCCCTCCCCCGCCACCTCCGCTCAACGCACCCTGGGCGGGCGGTGCCCTGGTGCTCCAGCCGGGAGGGCCGGCCACCCCATGTTGGACCCACAGTGCTGGGCCTCGGAAGGAGGCATTTCAGGCCCCCCGGGGGCTTCCTGGGGCCTCGACTCTTGGCTGTCTGGCTCCTGGGAGCCTCTCCCGACACAGCGTGCCCCGCGTGCCCGCGGAGAGTCGGCACGGCCATGATGCAGGGTCTTGCCCTCTCTTCCCCTCCAGGGTGTCTCCCTGGGCCAGGTCCTTCTCGGCCAAGCGTGGAATGTTCTCTCCTGGCAGCTGGGGGGCTTCCCCCACTCCGTTCCCCGGCTCCCCCACTCCCCGAGGGTCTGGCAGATGCCTGGGCTGTGCTGCAGGGCAGGGCCGGAGCTCTTCCCGGTGCCTGCCCCGGAGGGACTGAGTCGGGGCCTGCAGCCTGCCGGCTGAGTCCTGGGTGAGGCCGGTGGAGGGAGGGCCCGCTCAGTGGGTGCTGCCTCCTGCCCCCGCCCCCACCCCCCACCCGACGCTGTCCCTACAGCCCTTTTAAAAGACGTCTCAGAAGGTGGGGGGTGGGGGGGCTGGGGACAGGGGTGTGTCGGGGAGGAATAGGTGGCCGGTCCCACTCTCAACAGGGGACAGCTCCCAGCTGCAGGGGACGGGCGGCGGCCGGGCTGCCCCGCGGGTCCGGGAGGCGGTCCAGGCCGGCTGTGCGAGGCGGGCTGCTCCCCTCTGCCCGGCCGCAGGGCCGGTGCATTGCTTTTCTTGGCACTTTGTAAGCGTTGACTTTTCACTTGCTTTTTTTTTTTTTCCCTTCACAAGAGGCAGAAAAACCAAACATTTTCTGCAGTTAGAACGTTTCCCTCTTGGGCAGTCACGACGGAAAAAGGCACTGAAGCTCTCTGAACCCACACGAGTGAGGCTCCCTGAGCAGGGCCGGCCTGGCCCGGGCCGCGCGCACTTCGGTGCGAGGAAACCGGTCGCTTCCTGCTGGCTGGGGGGTCGCGTCCTGAGGCGTATTTTAGGGGGTCGATCGGCGCCGGCGCTTCTGACCGCCCCACATGTGTGGCGGCCGAGCCATTTGGGGGTGGGGGGGGGCGGCTGCAGCCCGCGGCCCCCGGTTCTGAACCGAGGCCTAAAGAGGTTTGTTTGACGAGCGGAAGGACCAGCACAGAGCCACTGTCTCTCACCAAGCCCCGTCCCCCCGAGTGCCGGAGCGCGCTCAGTGGCCCTGCCGGCCCTCGGACGAGTGTCACCAGAGACCGCAGTTTTCCCCTCGGCGGCGTGTGACCCGTGGCCGCAGAGCTCAGCCGGCTGCGGCAGGGGCCGGCGCGGTGGGTCGGTGTTCACCCGGCTGGAAAAGAGCGCATTGATTTCGCCTCGGGCCAGCGCAGCCTGCGCGCCCGCCCCGGGAGCTGCGGGGCCCGTGTCCAGATGCGGGCGTCTGCAGGCGGCCGGGCGCCCAGCCCTGAGGACAGCGCCGCGTCCATCGTCCCAGCGTGGCTCCCAGCCTGGGGTGACTCACCGCCGCGTCGCCGGCCCGGGCGACTGCTCCCAGCACGGCCTGTCCTGTGCTCCCGGGCACCAAGGTCCACGGCCCGATGACACCCACTTTTCTTTTCACTTCTGCTATTCCTCCCCGCCCCCGCCCCCATCCCCGGTCCTAAGGAATGTTCCGTCTGACTTTCCAGCAGGAGGGAGGAAAGCATTCAGACTCTTCCAAGGGGGCGAGCCGGAAGGAGCCCTGGAAAAAACCAAGTCCAAGGGCGTGACCTTTCCACGGAGAGGAATGGCTCTCCATTTCCCCGGACACTTGGAATCCCAGGGCTGGGCGCAGAGAGGCCGCAGGGGTGAACTAGAGGCTGGCTCGTAAGATCGGGGTGTCCCGGTGGCCCGGCAGCTGCAGGGCTGGTGTTTGGGGGGTGTCTGGGGGTGTCCGACCTTTGGGCGTCTCTGGGCCACGCTGGGAGAGTTGTCTCGGGTCACACATTAGAGACACTATGACGTGTCATCACGAGAGAAACCTCATAGTGTTTTAAGTGAATCTACGGTGTTGGGTTGGGCTGCATTCACAGCCACCCTGGGCTGCAGGTGGCCTGCGGGCTGCAGGTTGGACGAATAATGTCACCTCAGCGGTGACCTTGATTATGGACTTTTCCAGCTGCCGAGGTCCCTGCTCAAGGAGAAGGAAGCAGGTGACTTCCCATGTCACGCCACAGGGGTGGCCCAGCCTCCACCCCCCCACCGAGCGGAGGGGCTGTGGCTGCTTCGTCTTTGAGTCCCAGCGCGGTGGCCTGGTGGCGGTTTGGGCAGTGGCACTGGCTGCGGGGCCAGGGGCGGCGGCGTCTTTCTCGTTCACCCGCCGTTCCGTGTGACACCCTCAGGGCACATGGTGCTCCGCTGGAGACACAGAAATGCTGTGGGCCCATTTTGCAGGTGGGGAAACTGAGGCTGGCGGAGGTCACGGTGTGGGCTCTAGTGTTTTCCCGGGTCCTGTGTCACGCACTGGGCCTCGGATGCTCAGTGAGGTCGTGGCTTGGGCTGCTGGCTGGGACTCGACCCGCCTGACCCGGGTGCTCAGGTTCAAGGTCATGCCCCCCGGTGTCTGCTAGGCGGCCCGTGCTGGGGTGTGTTTTTGAGATCCACCAGTGTTTCCTGGCCCAGTTCAGTCTGAACCTTGCCCATTAGCTTTTGGTTTCGGGTTTTGTTGTCCTTGTTGTTGTTTCTCCTGTCTTTTTTTCCTCTTTTTTTTCCCAGAAGAGAGAACAGAACCGTGTGCGCCTCTGCTCTTCGGAGCTGCGGAAGGGCCGCCCCCTCTGGGGCCGCGTGTTCCGGGGTCTCCTGGTCTGGGGCCGCCCCCTTTGGGGCCGAGGCCCTTCCCGTACACACCTCCCAGCACTCGGCTTTGGGGCTGCACAGCTGCTGTGCTTCCTGCAAACCCGAGGCAAGACCCCCCTCCTCCAGCAGACAGACTCGCCTCGCTTTCCTGCGATTCCCACTCTGCCGCGCGCGGCCTGGAACCGAGCCCGCGGCGTCCCGCGCTGGCCTGTGTGGGCCTGTGAGGCCAGGTCCCGACCAGGCTGGTGTCCCGACCTGCAGCCACACCTGGGGGCGGGTGGGATCAGAGTCGGGGCCTGGGCCCTGCGCCTGCTGCGTGTCTGCGAGGTGCTGGGGGCGAGGCGGGTGGGTTTGGAAAAGGGGGGCAGTTCAGAGGTCGTCTGCCCAGGTGCCCGCCTTGGGCGCTCAGCTTGGTTGGTGTCATGCCCTCCCCCCCCGGCCCCCTTTCTCCCGATTTCCGTCTCTCTCTCGCTCTCTGCTCTGTAGAGAAGGAGCAGGGCGGGAAACCAGGTGGGGGAGGGGTAGGTAGTGCCACCTTCTCTCTCTCCCCTGCCCCCCGGGTCCCAGGCTCCCCTGAGCCGGGAGAGCTGAAGGGTTAGCAGGTGCGGGTGGACCATGTGGGGGACCCTGGCTCAGAGCCGGGTCCCTGAGGCTGGAGTCATGGGGTCTGCTTTCCCGGCCACTCTGGGGCGTGTGCCCACAGCAGGTGACTTGGGTCCGCGCTCTGGGCGGAGACACATCCCTGGAGCTCCTCCCATCTGGACAGTTGTGGTCCCCGCGTGGCCTGGCACCCGGTGTCCAGGCCTGGCGGGTGGAGGAGGAGGTGTCACCTGGTTCTGTGCTTGGAGGAGGAGCTTAGGCCTCCAGTAGGAGGACTGGGGTTGGGGGCGGTGTCCAGCCCACCCAGTCTCCCTGCCAGTTTTTCTCGCTTTCACCAGAGTCCTACCAGGAGGACCCCACGCCTCTGGCTACGCTCAGGCCTCGGACACGTGGGTGTGGAGCGTGTGGGAGGGTGCAGGAGGGGTGGCCGCGGTGGAGTCCCCAGCAGACAAGGAGGCCAGAGGACGCGAGGCTGCCCGCCTTGCCTTTGTTCAAATCACAGCGACATTCACAGAACCTGAAATCGGCCACTTTTAAGGTTAGAATCCAGCATCGCTGGGCACATTCACGACGCCGTGCAGCCACCACCTCTGTCTCGTTCCAGAACGTTCTCCTCTCCCCAGGAGGACCCCATGCCCGGAGCCTCCGGCGACCAGCGGTCCGCGGACCCTTCCCGCCTCTGTGGGCGGGCCCTTCTGGACGCTTACACGGGGCCTCTGGCTCCTGCGCCTGGGGGGCTGTTCTCCAGGGGCCTGGGGCTGCAGCAGCGGCGGAAGGGCCTGAGGCCCGCGCACCATCATCCTGTCTCTCCAGAGCTTGCCCATCACCCCGCACCGCGGCTCTGTCCCCGTTCGGCACGGGCCCCACCCTCCTTGGCCCCCGGGGCCCGCCACTCCATGTGGGGCCCGCTGGGTCCCTCTGCCGAGTGGAGCCGCATGGCACCGGTCCCTTTGCGATGGGCTCGTCTCCTTCCACCGCCAGTGCGTCCTCACGGGGTAGCAGCCCACGGCCCATTACACATGGTGTGTGTGTGTTATACACCCGTTCACCCGCCGTCTGTCCGCGGGCATTTCGGCTGTCTCCAGGCCAGCGAGGGGTTGCCTCCGGACCGGGGGACCCCGAAAGACAAGTGGGCTAAGGGGGCCCGGGGGCCCGGCGGTGTGAGGCACCCCCGACTCGCGGAGAGGGGCCGTGGGCTGCTGCACCCTCTGTGC